CCCTTGGGTTATCGATGGTGATACATCGTTGCTGATATATAGACTGATATTTGCGCAGCGCGGCAGGCCTCAGGAAGCACTGCGCCCTTTACCCTGCTGCGCTGTTGCTTATGTTTTTTTCTGAATTATTGCATTTGATGTGAACTCTATATGACGTTATGTTGTAATTGCCCGTTATATTGATAATTTCTCGTATATAATACCTTGATGGTATTGTAATTGCCCGTTTTGTATTGTAATTACAAATTGGTATTTTGGTATTGTAATTCCCCGTTAATTTCAACAGGCCATTCGGTAATCACGTTACCGAACGTGACCCCACCCCAACCCCTACCTTGTCCCCGTGAGAGCCTAACCTTGCTGTCTCCTCGACAGCTGACCACTTGACTGAGGAGCCGACGGCGGCGTGGCCGGAGAGTAACGGCCGGCTACCTGACTGTCAGGCCGACGGTCTGCCTCTAGCCGCGCTGACGGACCCAGTCATGGCTTGGGGCTGTGGCGGTGACCGATGGGTGTTGCGACCCTGGTTGACTGGGAGGATGGAGGAGGAGTGCTGACGTGAAGCCGTCAGTGAACCAGTGATGCTGTCTGAGGCTCCGTCCCCACCTGGCCGCCTGGCTGGTGGCCTGCCTCTGTCTTCCGAGCCATGGTGGACTCTGGCGGAGATAGGTGATGCCTGCGACCTGGAGTACGGATGAGCTGACGACCATGGCGAAGGAGTCCTACCGTGAACACGAGGGAGAACGCGTGACGGAGCCGGGATCAGAGGTGCGGCTGCGGAGGTGACTTCTGCGCTTGTGCTGCTCTGCGGACCACTGGAGCTGTGCTCGGGGTTACATGAGCAGAGTTAATATGCATTACAAACGGACTACAATGGTGAGCGAATAGGAAAATCCGTTCCTGATACGCATTTACTTGCTCATGTAACCCCGGTATGTGTGTACTTGGTTGTTGGGTGCTCAGCTGACCATGGCAGCCTCCATGAGTGTCGTGGCCGTACAGTCGTGTACAGGTTGATGGTCCCCTACTCTTTATCCACCGGGTTCCTATGGCTCAGCATTGGCAGCAGCCGCCTGGTACCGGTAGGCTGTGCCGCATGACCTGAGAGTGAAGCGGCACAGTCTACTCACGCCGTTTGACATCGGCTCGGGTCGCCGGGTGGAGCGCTTTGTAGACCAGCTGTTGCGTCAGACCAGCGCGGGGGGAGGGGCTCGTCTCGGTGGTTGGCGTGGGCTGGCGAGTGGTGTGGGGCGTGTTGGTGGACCATGGGGCTGGGCGGGTGTGTGTGGTCACTTGCTGCATTGCACATTTTGCGTCGCTTAACAATTGCATTCCTGTTTTTGCTAGGCACAATGCACGGAAGACCCAGCGAATATAATTTACTTTACTTGTGCATTGTGCAAGACGTGATTTGGCACGGTATCGAGGCAACCATAGGCCTTGTGCCTATGCATGATATTTAGGCAATACGTTTATGAAAACGGTAGATTGATGCTGGATGTCAATTCGTATTGCTAAATGTCGGCACGTATTAAATGAATGAATGAATCAATCAATCAGTCAAACAATCAATAGACATTGGTAATATTACTAAGTGCTCGAGCGAGGAACATATTGAATATAATTAGATAAATAAAAGAAGTTGACCTTTTCCTCGACATCAAAAATGTAAAAAGCCGAATAATATATTTTAAAAAAAACGGTGAGCTTTCGGCCACTGGCCTTTATCAAACCAACGTTCACGTTGGTTTGATAAAGGCCAGTGGCCGAAAGCTCACCGTTTTTTTTTAAATATATTATTCGGCTTTTTACATTTTTGATGTCGAGGAAAAGGTCAACTTCTTTTATTTATCTAATTATAATCAATAGACATGTATAAAACCGTTTAGATGGCTCGCAACCACTAATAGCAATCACACCATCCTAACTCGGAAAAGCAGCCGGAGCCCTGATGAGGCTCGAACCGGGACTCCACGCTGTAAATTTTGCCAATGATCAATCATCATTCCACCAAGCTAGAGTAACCGGCACCCGAACCCACAAAAGCATTAATTGACTTTGCCGCCGACCTCCCGGCCCCGCCGCCCGCCCGGCCAGACTTTGCCCCGGCCACAGCCGCCATCCGGTGTAGCTCAGCGTAGGAGTGCTCGACTGTCAAACTGACCGGTAGTGAGGGGCCCGGTTCGAAACGCTTCGGATGCTGGATGTTTATTTCTCGGTGGGAGGCTTTACGTTTAGTCCACTTTTCAGAAAGATCATTTGGTGACTGACCTGTTTTCTTTCTTTGCTGCAATTCATGAGGAGACCGTATGCACCCTTACCTGTCCTTCCGCACCCCACTTGGGAGATGGGTGGTTGCCCCCCCCCCCCATGGGTTTGTGAATATCTCTAAAACGAATTTTTGGAGGGGGATACGATCGGTTCTATGCGACAAGTGACCACACACGCCCAGCCCCAGGTCCGCTCACTCCCTACCCATATCACCCCCTCCCCACACCACACTCCAGCCCGCCTCATCCACCGAGCCGAGCCATAACGAGCCTCAGCGCCCCGGGGCGCGACCTGTCAGCGAACCGGCGGGGACGCGGGCCGGCGGCTGCGTGCGCCGCGGGGGCAGGGGCGCGTCCAGGCGTCGGGGACATCGAGGCGGCGCGAGCTGGCGCCGCCACGGCGACACTGGACCAGACCTGATAATTGGACACCTCAACATTCAGTCGTTGAAGCCCAAACTGCCGGATCTGCGAGGCGACATTCATAGAGGAGTTAACGGATTTGATATATTGTCACTGTTATTATATAACAGTGTTCGCTGACAGGTCGCGCCCCGGGGCGCTGAGGCTCGTTATGGCTCGGCTCGGTGGATGAGGCGGGCTCGAGTGTGGTGTGGGGAGGGGGTGATATGGGTAGGGAGTGAGCGGACCTGGGGCTGGGCGTGTGTGGTCACTTGTCGCATAGAACCGATCATATCCCCCTCCAAAAATTCGTTTTAGAGATATTCACAAACCCATGGGGGGGGGCAACCACCCATCTCCCAAGTGGGGTGCGGAAGGACAGGTAAGGGTGCATACGGTCTCCTCATGAATTGCAGCAAAGAAAGAAAACAGATCAGTCACCAAATGATCTTTCTGAAAAGTGGACTAAACGTAAAGCCTCCCACCGAGAGATAAACATCCAGCCTCCGAAGCGTTTCGAACCGGGCCCCTCACTACCGGTCAGTTTGACAGTCGAGCACTCCTACGCTGAGCTACACTGGATGGCGGCTGTGGCCGGGGCAAAGTCTGGCCGGGCGGGCGGCGGGGCCGGGAGGTCGGCGGCAAAGTCAATTAATGTTTTTGTGGGTTCGGGTGCCGGTTACTCTAGCTTGGTGGAATGATGGATCATTGGCAAAATTTACAGCGTGGAGTCCCGGTTCGAGCCTCATCAGGGCTCCGGCTGCTTTTCCGAGTTAGGATGGTGTGATTGCTATTAGTGGTTGCGAGCCATTTAAACGGTTTTATACATGTCTATTGATTGTTTGATTGATTGATTGATTCATTCATTCATTTAATACGTGCCGACATTTAGCAATACGAATTGACATCCAGCATCAATCTACCGTTTTCATAAACGTATTGCCTAAATATCATGCATAGGCACAAGGCCTATGGTTGCCTCGATACCGTGCCAAATCACGTCTTGCACAATGCACAAGTAAAGTAAATTATATTCGCTGGGTCTTCCGTGCATTGTGCCTAGCAAAAACAGGAATGCAATTGTTAAGCGACGCAAAATGTGCAATGCAGCAAGTGACCACACACACCCGCCCAGCCCCATGGTCCACCAACACGCCCCACACCACTCGCCAGCCCACGCCAACCACCGAGACGAGCCCCTCCCCCCGCGCTGGTCTGACGCAACAGCTGGTCTACAAAGCGCTCCACCCGGCGACCCGAGCCGATGTCAAACGGCGTGGGTAGACTGTGCCGCTTCACTCTCGGGTCATGCGGCACAGCCTACCGGTACCAGGCGGCTGCTGCCAATGCTGAGCCATAGGAACCCGGTGGATAAAGAGTAGGGGACCATCAACCTGTACACGACTGTACCACAATGGAGTGGGTGATGGCGGTGCGGCCACTGGTTGGGTGGTGTAGTGCCGGTCTGCTTGGCGGCTGACATATTTGGCCTGTTGCTGATGAACTAATCGACCTGCTGATAGGTAAAGAGGGGATGCCGCTGACGAACTGAACGCTCTGCTGTGCAGTGAACTGGATGCGACGGGGGCACTGGTGGATGAATAAGGGCCTTGACTCCGCGCTGAGTCGCTAAAAGGGGGAGGAGTGTTGCTGCCGTTGCGGCATTGGGTAATGCATTGTCCGATATTGTCATTGCTTCGACACTCTCGGCACCAGTATTACTGCTGGCGCCACCTATCACGTTATGGACAGTGCCACCTACCTACCGTATGTTACAATGATTGACGACTGGTTATTTTCACCTCGTATGGCTTAGGATCTGCGTGTATGATAACACGGTGGGTCTTTAAACAATGACACTACCGATTCCTTCCATATCATTAACGAATAACATGGACTCGCTACTAACACGACTAACTGTTCTATATCCTTTTACCCTAACCTATCGGTAGTGTCACATTGTTCGTTATCAATACGGGCGAATTATGTTTATTTTGACCTATTTGCGAGTTAGCTCATTTATTGTTATCTGCACTAAATGCATCGAAAGGAATGGATTGATAATAATAAACTACCGGTTGAGCCCCGGACAAGGAACCTTCAAATTCGGAGCTTTTTAGGAGGGGGCACCCGGTATGAATATTGCGATCACATTGCGAACACTCACCGACCACGTCTGCCATGAGCGGATCTCCAACACTTACCGACTATATAGTCCGCCATGTGAGCGGATCTCCAACGCTCACCGACTATATTAGTCCGTCATGTGAGCGGATCTCCAACACTTACCGACCACGTCCGTCATGTGAGCGGATCTCCAACACTCACCGACCACGTCCGTCATGTGAGCAGTACCGTTGCAGGTCAGGAAGTAGTTGTAAAAGCTGACCATCACCACTCCTCCGTTGGCAGCCTGAGAACGGCAGCAAAAGGTAAATGCAACGAGCATACGCTGGGCTAGCGGCCCGGAAGAGTGCTAGAAATTATTTGTGGTTAAATTGTTGATCTCAGTGGCAAGCAAACTGTAACGTTCAAAATGGGACTGCTTAGCTTATGATACCCATGGAGCCTCACTATGAATAATTGCCAAACCCGCGCCCTGCTGTAGGGTTTTTGAACCCCCCCCCCCCTGCGGTTTTTCGCGAATATCTAAAAAACGGCGGCTTGATTAGACATCTTTTCCGCACGCATGTTTTTTAATCCCACCCGGAGATGCACCATTTTTGCGCACATGAGCACAAGTGACCTTTCTCGCGGTGAGCACGAGCCTAGCGCTATCTGTAAAGTGACTCGGCTTGGTAGCCGGCTGCGCCCGGCCGCTTCACCGCGCGTGCTTTGAGAAGAAGCACGACTCGGACAAAAGGCGGAACAGCTCGGAGCACTCCTCAGGTCAGGGAGGCACCGGTTCTGACGTCACACGGAAATGTCAGTCGGCTGGTTGTGGCACTGCCCCCTGCCGGCGCGACTGTGCTGCCACCTAGCTTATCCTAGTCATAGCCTAGGGAGGACGGTAATATGTTTCTCGTTGAGAGGGGTAGCTTGCAACGACACCCCGTTCACATAGCTGTGCTGCAACATACCCCAGGTTCGGAGTCTCGCAGATGGCCATTCCCGCTCCATAACCGCAGCCAAGCCCCCGCTGACCTTGAACGGGATTGACCCGACGACGTTTATTTATTTATTTATTTATAGATTTATTTATAGACGTAGCATCTTCGTAGTCCGAGAGACGCGGAACCCGGGGATAGTTTAGCGAAGCCTTGGCGGCCGAAGAAGAGCTCGACATATCTCACTTGATTATGGCGTGGCCAGCCTCACTTCTGTAGTTTTGCTTCACTAAATTCCATGTCCTATTGGGTTTCCGGTTACGTAGTACACGACCACGTTCAGGAGCTTGATGTTTTTTTTTTTTTTAGATATATCACGCAATGACAAACTCTTGGCAGTATTTAACCCTCGCCGGCACAGACCATTTTGCGTCCTTCGATGGCACAAGGGGGGGAGGGGGTACGACCCCCTCGCGTTTGGCCCCTGATCGAGCTAGAGCTTTGTGGAAAAACGGCGTGTTGCCCGTCACGAGAAGAAGCCGATGGTACCCAATTTAAGATCCCAGGTCAGGTCAATTACTTAAAAGTCGGGAAAATCGGGACCTGTTAGAACGTCGTAAAGTGTGGCTGCTATGGGATTTTTTTCGGGGAGCTGATCACGAATATCATGTTAGTTTTGACCACAGATGATGTCTTCATGCATTTAGGCCCGGTCAGGTCAGGTAAGGTCAAATATAAAGGGTTCTGCCGGGTATTCGTATTACGTGTCAGCCGCCTCTGAGAGCTTCTTAACACATTACGAAGGCACCAAAACCACTTCGTAAATGCTCAAATGGTGGCTAATTTCGAATTCAGCTCCAAAACTAGCCTAGAAACATGTAAATCTCCAAAAAGTGAACCGTGGTCATCAAAAGTCAATGACCTGACCTGACATTCAGGTGACCTTGACACCCACCCTAATGCATGGGAGCAACATCATATCCCATGCTTGAACGCTTGAAACCACTACATACAAGACTGCAAACGCGCGGCTAATGCGAGCCGACTGGAGCCGACACACGCCGAATCGCGATTCCGGCCAAACAACGTATGATAAAGTATATGGGCATCTGGTTACATCTTCAAATGATCGAACAGAATAATCAGGTATATGTTTCTTGTCTAAGTTTTGTCACAAATTATGGGGGGGGGGCAAAAAGATACTTTTGCCCCCCACGAGTTTGCCAGGGGGGGCAGCTGCCCCCCTGCCCCCCCCCCCCCCCGAATCCGCCGCCCCTGCGTCTGAGGCATTCCGGGTTGCCACCCGCTGTACCGTGCCGCCTGCCACGTGTTGGCGCTTGCGGTTTTAGGGTCGCCGGGGTGACCTTAGACGGGCTGCGGGAGGTTGTATTCTCCATGAAGCGTTCCGGCGCGTGCGGCTCTGACGGTATCTGTATTCGTACCTTGATCCTTTGTTTTGATGCCATCGGCCCTATCCTGCTCCACATAGTCAACACCTGTCTTACCTCATGTGATTTCTCCGATTCCTGGAAACACTCCCTGGTTCATCCCATCTTTGAATCTGGTGATCCTGACGTAGTTTCCAACTATCGACCTATCTCTATTGTACCAACTATAGCTAAAATCGTAGAGCAAATAGTGCAGCGACAACTTTCTTCGTACATGCGTAGTAACCATCTTCTCTCCTCGTCTCAGCATGGTTTCCGACCCCACCACTCCACAGAAACTGCCTTGCGCTCTGTGACAAACCGTATCTTTTCTAGTATGGACCGTGGCCACGTCTCTCTTTTGTGTCTTGTTAGACCTTAGTAAGTGCTTTGAGGTCATTCCTCATTCCCTACTGCTCTCTAAACTCCAACTCTATGGCACAGATCCCGACTGGTTTACTTGCTATCTGTCAGCCCATACCCAATCGGTTTGCCTTGCTTCTCCTTCCGGCGAAAAAGTAGTCTCCAGCCCTCTACCAAACACCATGGGAGTGTTTCAGGGACCAGTCCTAGGTCCTCTTCTGTTCACCATTTTTGCCAATGACCTCAGCCTGCACGCGCCGGACGCTCATGTGACTCAGTATGCTGACGATACCCAAATCCTCATTTCAGATTCCAAACAAAACCTTCCTAACCTCATCCAACGCATGGAGACTTCCCTATCTTCACTTGCATCGTGGTTCCATGCACACGGGCTCAAGCTCAACACAACCAAGACGGAAATCCTTCTCCTTGGCACTCAACAGAACACCCGCAGCATCTCCCCTGTCAGCGTACGGGTCGGTGGCGAGACTGTGCAGGAGAGCCGATGCATTAAGAACTTAGGCGTATTTTTTTACCGTCACCTCAGCTGGGACGCACATGTCAACGACTTAAAGCACAAATGCGTCGGCCTCCTCATCGGTCTCCGTCACCTGAGACACTTCCTCCCGCGGCACGTCATGTCGACGGTAGTGCAGGCACTCGTCATCTCGCGCGTGAGATATTGCATCGCCGTGTACGGCAACGGATCAAACAAAAACGACGCCAAGCTTATGAAAATTATTAACTTTGCGACCAGAGTCATTACAGGACTTCAAAAATTCGACCACGTATCTCACGCGCGGGATGACCTGGGCCTGCACACGCCTCACCAGATGGGCGATCTCCAAACGGCAGTCGCTGCCCACAAAATGCTTGTGCACAGAGAGCCTGAGGAGCTCGCTGCCCATTTCGTGACGCTTTCCTCCTCAAGAAACTGCGACATAGTAACCCGTCAGGACCGACTTCTTCGCCCGCCCTCCGTGAAAACTGCGGCGGGGAAGAGGTCTTTTATGTATCGCGCCACATCACTTTTAAAGACCATGCCCATCGCAAGGCCATCTATAGAAGGTACAGTCACTCCCCCGCCGACCAATCAGAGACAGATCCTGAGTGACGTCACCCCTGATGCTCGCCAGGGGTACTCTATTCGTTTACAACGTAAAAATGACTAACTTCATTTGAAGATTGTTGGCGACACTCTACACATATCGCTCAGCCGTTGATGTCATTGAAAAGTCCAACCAATTTTCTAGCGATAAAAAAGAGCAGCAATATGCTAAGAAATGGCCGGTTTTAAAGATATAGACGATTTAAAAATCCTCTGCAGTTGCAGAAAAGCAACGTAAAAACGCATCGAGCTTATATTTTTACTATGAATAAATCATTTTTCATTAAGTTTTTAGATATGGTATCTATTTATACAACAACTTTATTACAATATTTTCATTACTTGGAACTTTATTTCAAAATAATATTTTCAAAAATGGCAACTGCTGGCAAGTAGCTTTGAAGCGATTGTGGCGCACCGCGCCATTATTGTCCTGAGGCCCCCTTATGATGTCATCAAAAGTGGAGTGACATGGGCCTGGCCCATCGACCTGTTGCGGCTCCGGCCGACTGCATATAAGAGGGCTGCGAAGGCATTTATCTGTGATAACTGATAGTTTGACCAGTTCAGAGTGTGTGCGAGTTGTATGTTTCGAATGGATGTGTTGCTTGTGTATGACGTGTGGGTGTTTTGCCTCTTGACTTAATCATTTCGGATTCCCTATCAGCCCTCCAATCAATACACCCCAAATATGTTACAACTCACCCACTAATATGGAGAATTGTCCAAATCCAAAATTCACTTTCCCAACTACCAAAATTTCTATGCATCCCCTCCCACTGCGGCATACCCCTTAACCCGCGCCCGGCTGGGGGTCCTGGATTTCCACGCCCTGCTGGGGGGGGGGGAGTGTTTGAACACCCCCCCCCCCCTTCTAACTCGGCTCCTGGGCCACGTAGCGATACGCGGAAGGCGGCGTTCAAAAGAGCGTCAAAAATAATGAGGAAATCACTTCGGTCAATTTTTTGGTCAGGTCAAAGGTCAGGTCACCAGAGGTCATTGAAGGCAAAATTTCGCCGATTTCCAGGTCGAATGTCGACAATTTCCAAGAAGCCAACGCATAACTCGGGAACCAATAGAGCTACGGCGCCGCGGAAAAGCGCATTCGATGGCCCTATTAACGCCCTTTCTGAATAATTTTCTCAGATTTGACCTAACGTCAACGGTTTTGCCTGCAGGGGGCAAAAACTGCAAAAATTGCCGATTTTTTCGGAAACAGTTTTTCTGCAATAACTTTTGACCCAAGCCTTGTACGAGCTTACTTTTACCGGCATCGTGTTCCTCTCGTCAAGACGCATCGAATGAATTGTAACTTGACCTTGAAAGGTCAACTTGAAAATTTGACCTCAGGTCAAGGTCATGACCTGACCATGGTCATGGAAAGGGTCATGTTGCATATCAGTCGATCCGTATCGTCGGGCTGAACACATCTAAGGCGTTTTCATCGCTCTAGCATGCCTCTATCAAA